GGTGGGGGCTGCGTGTGTACGTAGGGAAGGTGGGGGCTGCGTGTGTACGTGGGGAAGGTGAAAGCTGCTATTGTATAATATGCAGGGTAGCAATAACATCATTTTTGGTTTTACATTGTTGCTGCATTATATTACAGTTACAGTTGAAGCTGTGCTAAAGTAAAACCTCTTGACCGGGGGATCTGTTTATAAAGCACACACTTTGTTTCCCTTGAATTTACTGTAATATACAGGTTAGACTAAATCTACATGAACTGAATATATGGAAAGCCTATGTGAAGCCATTCGGTAAATCTTTATGGGTGAGCTGGGTTTAAGAACAAAATGCAACAAATTTTACGTGTTCAACATGATTTGTTTCAGTGGCCTCACAACTCCACAGAAGAACCCATCTTTGCTCTGACAAAAACTGGTGATAAATTTGACGAGGTACACAACAGTCATTGTTTACTACAAGCCACTGTGTTTTCAAATAAAATAATTGATGCGAGACTAAAGGAAAATAATAGAAACACTAGAGGTAAATTAATTAAAATGAAAGTTCATCACTATATTAATGGCAGTTATTATTAGAACTGCTAATAAAGTCATCAATTGTGTGGGTATGACATGATGTCCATACTGAATGTAAAACCAAAAGGCAGCAATTTGTAAGCATTAAATAATGTTGCCACATTTCGTTTGATTTCTAGGTGCGGACTATACTGCTAGAACTTTATAGCAATGGTTGTAAATTCAGAATAAGTCAGCTGAAGAAGCGAATTGAGGAATCGTCAATGCCTGTCCCAGCGGAAAACGAGCTTAAACGATTAATAAAGGTTGGTCATTTCTATAGTTTTGAATTTGTAATAGGCATAGTCTTATATTTGATGCTGTACTGTAGCTGACTTCTCTCTCATTTTTCTCAGCTAGGCTAAAATAGTTTTTTTGGCATCGTCAGCACCTGCCTATTTCTGTTATTTTCTTTGCAATGTAAGGCGGATCCAGAGAGACATGATACAAGATTGCGTGGCACAGCTTTGCTGTTGATCCTAAGCGCTGCGCGCGGATGAGACGCGCAATTCCGCGGGATATGCGCACGCGACCGCGGGGATGTTCAAGTATGAAGCGCTGTCCGCAGTGGAGACGTGCGCCAAATTCGAGGCCCAGCGCACGTCTCTACAGCGGTCAGCGGATGGTCTGTAGTTTCAGAAGATGACAATGATTATATATGGACGATATTCTAGGAATTGGCGATTATAAAACAGTAACAAAAATCGCCCAGTCATGCTCCAGATTAGCTGAATCAAAACGATTAGAATTTAATATGAACAAAACAAATACAATGGTTATAAAATTCACAAACAAAGAAAGGATAGAGAAGGAGACCAAGGCAACCAAGGCAATAGGCAACCAAGTAATCAAAAAATGCACCAAATATTCATACCTAGGGGATCTAATTAATGATATAGGAGGTTATAACGATATGATAAGAGTCCAAACTGAAAAATGTTGATGATGAGCCGTTTCATGATGAGCGAAATAATATTATTATCATGGGCAGAAGAGCAAAATTATGGAAATCATACTATAGAAGCAAGAGTGAAATTATACGAATGCACAGTTTTACCTTCCTTCGTAAATAACAGTGAAACATGGACAGGAAGAAGTAAAAATGTTGGAGGATTTCCAAAATGAGTGCCTGCGCAGAATAATAATCACGCAGAAAATGCAGAAAAATCTACGGAAATGCATTGAAAGACGATGAAAATTCCAAGGAAAGATACGGAGAAATTAGTAAAAATAACATATAGTTTCTATAGGTAAATCGTGGTAAATACATTAAACACGCATTATTTTATTGAAAATCCCCATATTTACTTATAAAACATCCAAGAGATGGCACTGTGGCATGTAAACATTGGCTGTATTTTGATGAAAACTGTTCAATGAATGACGCACTCGTTCACTTGCAACAGCGAGAGAAAATGCGGGAAATTTTCCTCTTCGATGCGAAATGCATCGGCCGGGCATTTCATTATTTACGAAAAGTAAATAAGCCGGTGAAAAACGGTAGGTACAGGAACCGGTAACGTCGGTCACGCCCCATTCATGCCCATCAACGAAGAAGGCGTAGCGCAGTGCGCTAAACAGCGTGTTATTTTCGTTTTTGTGCCAAACTCTATCGTAGGAAACCGTTCTAGCCTAGCAGAATGCCCTAGTTCCTGAGATCGGCGATTCCATGCTGTTATGGGTCCCCACCTATAAAAATATCAAACAGAGGTGCGGCGTAGGCTGTGATTAGAAGACACAAAGTGTCAATCCTCGGCAAGCCTCGGCATCATGGCCACATCACGTCCAGAGAGACCGGGTACAAGATGGCGTTGCGCAAAAGATGCGTTGTTCCCCGACCGCCGAGAGCGGTTAAGCCACGCACTTCCAAGGGACTGGGCGCACGCGACCGCGGGATGTTGTATGTAGCATCTCGCGCTGCCCGCTATACGAATTTGCGCGCCGAAGGAGGGTGGGCGCGCGAATCCGTATAGCGGGAAGCGTAACATCGCGCAGTTTTCGTCACACGTACATCGGCTTTACTACGGCGGCCTTGGGGGAGGGCATTTCCTGCTGCTGCTGCTTTGCTGCTCCAGGGCCGCGCTGCAGCAGGGAGCAGTATTTGGTGCTGCTGCTGGTTTGCTGCTGCAGGAGCGCACTGCAGCAGGGGCCAGTATTGCTTGCTGCTGCTGCTGCTTTACTGCTGCATGGGCCAGTATTTCTTGTTGCTGCTGCATGGGCGCGCTGCAGCAGGGGCCAGTATGTACGTGTACGTAGGATTAGCTACGTGTAAAAACTGGCACGGCCATGCCAGCATGTGCTCGCACGTGCCGTCGCCACGGGCAGTGCGGGGTCAGGTTGGTAAAAACCTGCCACGTACGCAGCCAGGCGCCGCGGTGGCGGCGGTTTTGGAGATAGCATCTAGACCGCGCCCACCCACGTGGAGCGCCGTACGCGTCTTTGTTAAAACCTCTGTGATAGACATGACGCTATACTCGGCAGTAGCCCACGTCATCGCGTAGCGGCCAATGAGCGAGCGTGTGGTCACTGATTGACAGCATTTCTTGGGGTTTCTTGTAGGAGCCACTACCTCTTACCCTTGTGGCGCGCCACCCCAAAAAATGTTTAGGGGCCGTTTGGAGATGGCCTCTAGGCGTCAATCGCGAAATGTCGGTTGGATTCCGCCCCGTTTTCGCGGAGTTCGTTTTCAGACCCCTGTCTAACATATCTATCCAAGTGGACAATATGGGGGCGGCGTATTCACTGTGGGGGCGCGGCATTCTACATACGAGCTTGTAGTCGCGGCACACCGAAAATGACAGGCGACTCAACACATTTCTTTTCTTGCTACTCGTTTTATTGATGACTCTGTACCACAGAGTGTGGCACACACTGCAGGGCAGGTGAAACTGCAACACAAATTTGTAATTCTTTTAAACCCAGTTCACTCTTTAATCTTACATGTATTATATAATTTAACCAAAAACTAGCGTTATATTTGTATCCGAACTAAATGAGTGAATTAAACGATGTAGCTTGTGAATTAGACCAGTTGCAGTGACATAAAAATATAATACTCACAAGTCACAAGTATATATACGAGCTCTCTTGTGGTCAACTTGCTGCGACTAATGTTTCATGCCAAACTACATGTTACTAGAAATTCCACGTCTTAAAACCAGCCCAACCCCAGAGAAGCCGAATTTAAATTAAAGGGGCCCTGGACGAGCACACGCGCGACCGACAGTACGTAATTCTTGCACAAATAATAATGGGCTCTCTACCAAAACAATTATTGCATTCTGGCGGTAACAGAGCTTTTATTGTTCTACAGTGATAAACATAATTAAAATATTGCTTTTAAAAAAATGTGTGAAGTATGTATTCTACATACGAGCTTTTCTTGCCCTACAGTGATACAAATAATTAACATATTGCTTTTAAATATTGTGCCAAGTATAGGGGATAGCGTGATTGATCCTGTTGCCTCTCAAACATTTTTAATCTTATTTTTGCATGCCTCTGACCTAATATTTATATAATATACCTAATATTTATCTGCTAATACCCTATTTTACGGTGAAAAATAATTTGGAATAACTGCAGTATGCAGAGGCACAATATATCTAGTGAATAATATCTAGTCTATAGGACCTCCTAGTAAATGCCAAAATACCACAATGCATGATAAATTACATCCACCTGGTGTACAAAAAATAAACCGTATCTTGATACACAGACAGAAAAAGAAACGTCTTAAATTGCATGCTATGATAAATTTGTCATATCATGTACGAATTAATATTTTTTTTATTAGTTTATTTGTAAATTCATAATTAAAGGATTATAATACCCTAGTATTTTTAGAGTATATTATGATAATGGTGCATAAATAATAGTATACACATACAAATTTCTATTATCCTTGTTGTCATAAAACAGCAGTGTTTTGAAATCATTATTTTACTGTTATAATATGTGTTCCAATACTTTCTTAACACAAACGTATTACAAAGAGTACGTTAAAGCCATAGAAATATATAGTAAAGAATCATACATATATATATTAATTATATATATATATTATTATATATTTAGCTGAAACACAATGATACGATCTGAGTGTGCTCTAGACTGCACTAGACAACATCCGTATCGTTAGTAGTCAACCTCACTTAATTCGTATCAGACGAGACCACGGCATTTTCTATGAATTATGTAATCAACGAATTAGACCTAATTCGTATTTTCCACGAATTCTATTAAATCCGTAGAAACCACGAAATAGATGGATAATTCGTGTAAACAACGATTTATGAATGGAAATTTTTTACAAAGTTATTTGTACATGGCTGAACAGCTGGATCGCGCGTTCGCTCGTGCGCACTTGCTGTATGCTACATAATATGCATGCATGTTATACAGAAGCTATGTAAAATAACATGTATTTGTTCTACATGTATAAAGATAATTATATTGAAGTTTACACACATTTTGTATTGAGCAAATCTTGGTTAAATTTCATTTTATTTCAAACTTGGACAAATACATTACCTACGGTTCCACTTGCTATCACACAGAACGGAGACAGCGCGAGTGGGTTATGTACAATACTCCCAAATCTCGCGCATGCTCAATGCGTGACTACGAAATGGCTTATTGATTTTAATTGTTGAGCGAGTGGCAGTGTTTATAAATATACTCAAAGATAAAATGTTGCTTGCATAAACAAACATCCCCTACGAATTACACGTGTCATTTTGAATTGAATAACGTTAATTGGACCAGAGAATTATGTACGAATTACAGAATACGAATTATACAACGGAAATTAAAGGGAATAAAGAAGAGAAATATTGGGACCGCATGTTTTTGTACGAATTAGGTATTCTACGAATAAAGTGATGACGAATTAGGCGAGGTTGACTGTAATAATATCGCAATACAGACGCTACATATCGATTATCGTATCGTGGGCCACTATCATGATTCACCGATGTATCGGTAAATCCCTACTATCCAATATTGAGACACAGATTGCTGCGGAGCATATAATTACGATTAACCACGATTTAATTACGACACGCATTTAATTACGATAAAACACGATTACCTGGAAATTATGTTAAAATCTTGACTAATGTTCCCTTTTACATATGCTATGCCTTATCTCTTCATTTTTTTTAAATGCAGTAACAAAAGCTCTCAATTATATATTTAATTAATTGTAATATGGTCCACAATGTGTGTTTAGATGTGAAGTTAGAGCTGTATTGATTATCCTGAGATTTAAGAAGTGGCTTCGGTACATCCCATGCCTGGACAGCTCACAGTACGTGTGGAAATATTGCTTTCCTGTTCGGTGGGTAACTGGTGTAGGTCGCTTGGTACCACCTGTGTGTTGCGATGCCCATGGCCGCCTGATTTGCAACCACGAATACCACCACCATCCACCAGATGTAGTGACGCAACCCTGAGTAGAGAAATAATTATTAAATGTCAAGGCAGCCAATCTAATAACGTGCACAGGACTAACAATGGAATGTTTGAAGGTGGCACTGCTCCAACTAATGATCACAAAAGCAGTATGATGTACTACCCTTCTCCCCACCTAATGTCTGTAACTTGTGAAAGTGGCATCAATGAGTATTCAACTTGTGGGATCTGACAATTATGATGAAGGCAATATCAAAGCTTGGTGAAATGAAAGGCCGAGATGGAAACAAGATGTATTCGCTATATCAACTCAGGGGTAGAAATTAACTTTTGAACACGGGAGTCCAACGGACTTCCCTAGCCTCAAAAAGAGGGAGTCCGCAGCAAAATGAGGGAGTCCGCAGGCAAAAGAGGGAGTCCGCAGCAAAATGAGGGTGTCCGCAGCAAAATGAGGGAGTCCGCAGCAAAATGAGGAAGTCCGCAGTCTGAGGTTCAAAATTAAAGATATTAACAATAACGATGTGCAAGGGACTAACGGTTGCACATCTGTCAAATTTTCTTTGGATATTAGCTGAAAAAATACGGTATTTCCAGGAGGCCGTGCTCTGGAACGAACTAGGTAGTATGGCAGAATTTTCAGGGAGTCACAAGGACTCCTGCATATGTCAAATCAGGGAGTCCGACAGTAAATCTGGGAGTATTTGACTTCGAACCCTGCCAACTAGACACGAATAAGATTTATATTTATAATAGATAGTGGAGTTTTGCTCCCCACACTGTGATGCAATAGATCTATAGGGAATTTTTTCACAAGAAGAAAAGTAGGTGGAGGAAAAATAATAGTAGATGGCTGATAATTGGAAATGCAACGAAATTTGGCAGTGTTCTATCGGCATTTTCAAGCCCTTTACCTTGATTAAAATTTCTAATTAGGTCATTTTAAACGCGAAATGTTCCATCACTTATGGGACTATATTTTAAGTGGCAAACTAGTCAGTGCCTAGCCTTCAAATTTTCGCTATTAGCTCGCTTATTCGCTGTTAGCCAGCTTCTAGTACCGCAACACCTGGGTATAGTGGGGCGAGACGAGACTAATGTAGTAGGCATACCCATTGTCATGGCGAGGGCCAGGTAGATGAGGATCTCCGCCAGAAAGTGCGGGCACGACACGAGGTCGAACCAATCTCCGCTCGGAATGCAGTGTATGAGTGTTTTCACGCGGCCTTTGCTGTCCTTCCTCAGTCTTGCAAGGATGACGTGGGCTGTGTGGTGGTGCCAGTTTGCCCACAGGAACAGCGCAATGCCTACTGGTTGCCACCAGTGGAATTGTAGTCGGATCGGTGTGTCGACGTATGGAAATCCCTCGGCCAGGCTTAGCAGGGCAGGAGCTGAACAGAAATGGTTGATACATACAGTTACGTAGTTAAATCATGGTAGAGATGTTTAATTAATCCCCCCCCCCCAGAAGGACACCACAGCCAATATTTAGTTACTATGTATTTTAGATTTTTAGCGTGGTGACTCACTAGCACTTATTGTATGTAACTGAAAATTTGCATGTTGCATAGAATGTCAGAAGTGTCTAAACAACCGGATCCGGCTCCACACATCAGTAATCTAGAGAACCGGATATCGGCTCTGATTGGCTAATTTTGTCACTGAATTATTTTATTTTTTAATATTTTTTGCTAATTTTATTTTATTTTAGAATTAGTGATAGGCTTAGTGGTTGGAGTTAGTGTTATTAATCATTAACTGATTTCTATATCCACAACTTTTATGTAGGTCTCAGTGGCTCAACGTTAGAGCTTTCGCTTCGTGATAGTAAGGGACCGTGTTCGAACCCCATAAGACTGTAAGATGTTTTTATTTTCCTCTGTTTTCTGTATTTCTTTGTATTTTATTTGTTCTGTATTCATTTATTTGTTCGGTAACTTTTGTTTATGTTTGGAATTAAATATATTTCTTTATGTTTTGCATTAAAAATTGTCCTATTATATATTTGTCCTGTTATGTTCGGAAACTGACCAGTCAGAGAAGAGTGCCGGTTGTTTAGTTTTCAGGACTACGAAACCGGGTCCGGTCGTTTAGACACTGCCTAGAATGTCCTACCAATCCATAGCTGAAATTTTGCTGGCGTGGCAGGCCATATAACTTCTAGGTAATTAACACTGAGGTCATTCGATTGCCCCCCTCCCCAGGGTTGAGCTACGCCATTTTGTGCTCACCTAATCCGAGGTAGTAGGCGCAGCCAATGATGTAAGTCAGCCAGCTCATGGTGGACTGCGAGTAGACGCTGACGAACAGGCATTCATACAGTCGTCTTGCAACATGCACGAACAGCATCGTCATGCCGAGCCCCGCCGACAGCGCGTCGACGCGCGCGCCATCTCGCGGACCAGTCAGGAAGTCGAAGAGCTCACCGAGCCACGTGAACGGCGTGCTCTTGTTGAAGTAGTAGCCGTGCAGCAGCACGGCAGTCAAAAATCCATTCCACAGCGTGGCGATAATGTAGTAGTGTGTAAAGTATCGCTTAGGAACGTGACACCAACCATGGTTACTGATGTCTTTGTGTGAACCCAGTTTGCCGTATCGAATCAGGTTTTGCAGGGCAGCGGGCATACTACTACTACTAGAGATGAATAGCATTGGCCATTGCAGGGTGCACACGCCTATAGTCATCACTGCCCAGAACCAAAATATAATATTGCTACTTTCTATCATGATTTATAAGTGTAGGAACCCTGTTATATGATGTAAAACGTGTACTTATCGAGTGTTTGCAGCAATAAAATTCCACGACAACAAACAAACAATATATATTTTCACGCACTGGGCAACTGAACTGGACCCCTGTACCGGAAATCGAACAAACTGACAAAGTGACTGCCGTTTGAATCAATTCAAAGTCTCTGAAGTGACCGGTCACTCAGCGTAAAGCTGTTATGCGTTATGCGCCCGGTCATCGTTTGTGAAATTCAACTAATCGTACATTGGAAACGTGGAAGAGATAACTGTACGGAAGAGAAAGGGGAGGAAGGTTGTGCTGATTTAAAAGTGCAAATAAAATGGTTGGTGAGGATAAGAGAAAAAGTATATCGTGGCTATAGGAGATCGAGGAGGATGAAGAAAGAAGGCGCGTAGGGCACAGAGACAGAAGGGGAAAGAAAGGGTGAAGAAGGAAATATAGCATACAGACATCTACGTATATAAGCTTTTTTTGAATATAACTGTACACAATTTTATGGTGTTTGATTTTGTCATTTGACATATTTTAGGATTACTGCATTACTCGGTCAGGCTACTACTATCTAAAGGGCACCGTGGGAGCAGACAGCTAGTAGCTCTACAGATGTAGGGTTGGCATTCCATGTGCACACAGCACATATATTATCAGGTGAGGTGACATATGTAGTCATAGTAAAGGTAAAAGGCATACAGAAATATACAAGCCTAAGTAATATAGTAAACATGCATAATGTAGGACTTGCTAAGAGGACTTGGGAGGAGGTACGTTCTTGCTCTTCTCTCTTCACGTTCTTGCTCTGTGCACCTTGACGTGCCCATTCTAGATGCATAGATCCATTCTGAATCTGCACTTGTAATGTCTTAACACATTATAATTAAGGTAATTTAATACTTGATATACTAAGGTAATTTCATAACTACTAGCACATTTGAAAGATTGTGAAAAAATCAATATTATTTCAGGTCTGCGAATGATTCCATCAAGATGATATCACTAGGCAGAACTAGTGAAAACCTAACCATCTGCAGCAAATGCAAGACATATCTTTGCGTACCGGCTGGTTGAGCTACCATAAGCCTTCATATGTTGTCATGAGTCTAATAGCCATGTGTCAGGTATGTGTAGTCAGCATATCCTGAATATGATGGCTATCCTGACGGTTTTGTCAAGTGTTTTTTTTTTATCTGACAAAAGCCGGCTGTGTTGATGTAGACATCCCTGGCAGGATTCCTGCATATATTCAACGTTGAATTTGGGCCTTACAGTAAACAGCACACGCACTGTGTGAATTGTAAGGGGGATACTGCAATTATCATTCGTAACCAGAGAGCTTATGTTCCTAATAAAAGACAAGATATGCGATCTTTAATCGTGTCTCAGAAGTAAAGTAACGCATATGACCTGTTGTTTATATAATGTCGAAAGTATTATTGAAATCTTGCTTTGATATAGCTAAATTAAATACACGTGAAATAATATTTGCAATAATATTTGCCAAATCTTCTTGTATTTTTTAATGATTTACTTGAATTATTATACATAGCACATTACATTACATAAACATTGCAGCTACGTCTAAACACGTATATAGTCTGGTTAATTACGCATAATAACCAAATGTAGTTCATTAAAATGTCACACTGCCAGCGCCACGTAGTTTGCGAGTACCCAGCGCCAGTGCTTGTCTATTTATAATTATTATTGGAAGTTATGATAACCATGCAGTAGTGGTATATTATATATATATATATTTATAACATACGCACGCATGCAGACGCACGCAGACACGAGCGTGCGCATTTAGTTATTTATTCAATATGACATGATGCATAAATATAAAGTATAATAATGTCAATAATAATAATATTAATAATAGACAACAGAGCTGTGACAGACTATTTCAAGTTAATGGCAATCTGGCTATTCTGCCACAGGAATATATATAGCTTTATATGATATGTTTTTCTTGGACCTTGGGCCGGATTCAAGAACAGTTCGTACGCACAATATCGTGCGTACACACGTTCGTAGTTCGTACGCACAAACATGCATTTAGGTGGTATTCACAGAGTTCTATTTCGTGCGTACGGTACGCACACTAGCGACCATGCGTACGCACAATAACTGAGCTTTGAAACTGCACTTTATGCAAAGATACCGAAACAAACGCTAATATAATAGTGTTATATAGTGCATCGCCAGTTTGCTATGAAAGGCAAATGATATAATTAGGTCATAAAATTGAACATTTTCCTGTTTTAAAATGAGAAACAATATACTCAGTAACCCACTATTTTAATACTACATGTATTTCATTAACCGCATATAAGTAAATGTATAATGAAATAATGTTGTATTTAAAGTTTGTATCTTCCTATATTTACATAACGTTATAACGAACCTTTTAAACGTTGTATACGTCCTCTCATGGTTGTTATAGGCTGAAATATTGTCTCGTACGTTCGGCAACTTGTTTTGACTAATTTCTAAACACCAATTTCTAATCTCGAACATTTTTAATTCTAGGAATATATTTTTTTTTATCCGCAACTCTTGCCTTGGTCCTGTTCCCGCTCGAGCTTTGACGTAAATGTGTCGATGCATGGTGTCCGCGTTACAGCCCTCTTCTTTGCGTCCCTGTTTCTACCCCAAGATTTTGTGGGATTTGGTATTGGGGCTGCTGCAGACGTCTCCATCATCGTCATACACGCGCACGCGTTCGAACACCCACACTGCATGGTCATTTACTGTATATTTTCATACATCTTGAATGACATTGGTCTCAATATAATAATAAACGCTAATGTTCGGGACCTATATATCACAGTGCGAGTTAGCCTCGTGTTTAGCCTCGTTGATGCTAACAGAGAAAAACAACGCTCCGTACGATCGTTAAGTTGATTTCATGGCAAAAGCAAAGGCAAAGGCTGAGTATTGTAAACTTCTAAGGAACCAGCCAAATCAGGCGAAGATAGGGTCGAGTTTTTCCTGGCAGACACGAAGGTTGAACCGTCCCATCATCTTCAGTTCATTATAATTAACTGCTTTAATCACAGCTTGCCATATCTTTTTATTAACTACAGCTGCCGCGTTACCAGCAAAACTTCCGAACACAGTCATATCTTCCTCTGTTCCACTTCATAAATGATTAAGTCTATTTTTTCTGCGGAAATATTCCTATTCTTCCACCTCTTCACTTGAGTTGCCGTGTATATAACGTACTAAATAAATTTGCTCTCACCGCACTCGTTGAGAATGGTGCTATAGGAGATGATTGGCTATTAGGAGACAGTGGCTATAGTTCATAAAGGCTTGCTTGATGATACCCAATTACTCAGACCAACGAACTGCACCAGAGCGCTGTTTTGTGGGTTTTGAAAAGTAAACATTGATTACCAATCCGAGATTTACATGACGTATTCGTCTTTATGCCAACATTCTGCGTGACAGGGGCATTATGGCTGATAGGAGGGAGGGAGGGAGGGAGGGGGATAGAGAGAGAGCGAGAGAGAAAGAGAGAGAGAGAGAGAGCGCGCGCGATCCTATCCCGCGGAATGTCATGTAGATTATTTTTGACATATGTAATTTCTATTATCCAACATCTATACCAAGGAATATTGTGTTAATTATTCCCACACTGATAGTCTGTATTTACTATTATATGATAAACGTATAGACTGGAATGTCACACAAATCCTCTACACGCCGATACCGTGTAAGTACTGTTATCCTAACTGTAAACCGCGAAATGTTTGTATTTTAATACGTATTTGCATGAACGCACATCGCGGACGGTCATACTAATTATCTTCACCATATAAGTTTGTAAATGTTATCATCTTAAATGTATACCGGAATATCATGTTAATTATTTCTATACTGCTATCTGTAATGTATGTATTGCAATGTCATGTTATAGCGTAACAGAATGTCCGAACACACTGGAATCACAGTGCAACATACAAGCACGCTCAACTGACGAGGTGCAGCGACAGTGACAAACAAACATAAACAACGTTTTGAAAACCGTCACTATAATGCCTTCGTTATCTTTAGTTACTAACTGACAACGAATAAAAACGACAACAACGGAGCTGTTTCCGATCTAACCAGAAATACGTGATAACAGATCTGTACATCATCCGTTAGGATGCACGCTTGATGTAACCGGAATCATTTATAAAGCTTGTACCATGCATGCATGCATCTAGCGCTTTATCAAACAGTACATGACAAAATGTTTGCGAATACGTACTTTTACAGTGGTTTTACACCGAAGACGTGGTTTTACAGGCCACATAATAACGCAAAAAGGCAGCACTCATAAAATGATATGAAGCGTAAGCTTGCACTAAAACTGTAGTCTACACCGATAATAGTTACCTTAGTTCCCTGTATAAACACCACTGCCGCTAGCGTAGGCCCGCCTACTCCGCAGACATTAGATCGACACAAATATAAACATACAGGGAACACACTAACATAATGACGTACAAACTCTATTAAGCAACCGTATATTACCGTTCCAGATTCCCTACTACAAACTTACTCATTTAAAAATGCTAGAAATGCAGTCGTCCAAGGATTTTGCAATGCATAACTTCCGTCGTCCTATTAATAACTGGCAATTTCTGCAATAGTTTTATAACCTGCAAGCCATAAATACGTACATACACATGTAAATATACATCCGAATCGACACACACGTGATTGCCTAGCGAGCATATGACCAAGATCCCATAATATTATCACACTATCAGTTGTGAGTTGAGAGTTGTGAGTTGCAGTGTCGCTTTTTTTTACTAACTCATGAGACAGACACATAATATAATGGTGCAGAAAACTGACTCTGGTTCATCGACAGTTACCGACAAATTTGGCCGATTTTATCCTAGACCCGAGGATCGGTCCTACGGATATCAATGGCGACCACTGCTGCCACGTACGCTCTTGTATCAAGCTACATGTTATTGTATAGGTGAACAAGCAGGTGCAGCCACACATTCACGAACCATACTTCGCATTTATGAGCAGTTGGTAGAAAGAACATCTTCCACACTGCAATTTTCCATTGCCATGCAGGCGCCATTCAAATCTCTGCAGTGTATATATTCATAGACAATAGCAACATTAACAAAATAAATAATCGGTCGATACCTGGAAAGAGTTAGAAGAATCTGCTGATAATGATACCGCAAGACAGTACCATATATTTATCGCTGCTTTACAATAGGTAAACGAATTTCCCAACAGCCATGGCATATAACTTAATGACGTCAACACTATTTCTATTCCATACTGTCAAAAAATCATTTATACGCTGCCTGATTGTATGAATCACAATCATAGCAATAATGGTGAGATCAGTGACAGCAGCAGCAGGATTACCACCAGCAGCAGCAGCAACAGCAGCAGCAGTACCAACAGTAGTGGTAGTATAGTAGTAGCAGGAGTGTATCAAAATCAGCAGTGTTTTGATACACTCCTGGTAGTAGCAGTAGCAGCAGCAGCAGCAGCGACACTGACAACAACAAATAAACGGCAATACAACAATAATTATCATCGCTGTGACTACACGAATGGTTTGCTAATTTTATGAAACTAAAAACAAAACAAACAAAAATAACAGTTAGTTTTCAGTTTAGTTCACTTAGTTTCAGTATGGTAATGCTTGGAAGTTTTTTTGTCATAATCACAACTTTAACTCAATACATTGGCACTTAAAAACAGATAGGTATACATGCCTCGCAACTAATATTAAGCACGGTTCCAAAGCAATTTTCTATTATAAGTAAAATTTACTGGAAATAGAAAAACTCTCCTCACACTATGTAGACAATGAAAGAAAAGATTCCTGCAACATTGCTATTAATATATTATCGCATATTAATCAGTTGCCTCTCACCATCACCTTCCCTCCTTATGCAAACTATACTATACACACTTAAGATCCTAATTCAACGTCCAAGACATTAGATGATGGTGATGATTGAAGTCTACTGCAAGCATGGTTGGGAGAATGTGTGCTATAGCTCTTTCCAAATGAATATGTGTCGTGGACTACGTATGCGCATGCAGTGGCGATGGCAAACATAAACCTACAAATATACCCTTTTCATACTGAAAACCATCAGTTTCCTCTGATCCAGGACACTTTCCGAATTACCTATGTGACTCAAATCTCTTAGACTGGCGATTGAGAGACACACAGTAGGAAATTAAGATAACTCTATTACACACTAAAGAAACTTGATGAATAATGAATCAATCTTTATAGCACAAAAATCTCTGTTTCTGTTTTGAATCATACTCTGTTCACAATACTACAGCATTTACTGCTGCCAAGAGCATGCAACGATGGATAGGATATAGACAGTATGTCTACGGCAACAATGGAACTACTTTAGGTTGCTACCCATAAGCACGCATTGTAAAGCCTAGCGCAGACTTGCGACTTTTGATTGCTCGTCGCTGCAACCTGCAACCGCATGCGATCGGACGCACGCTTCACCGTGTATGCGCATGCAAGCGACTGCTGTTAACAGCAGTCGTTTCTTTCCATTCTCTTTCCATTGTCTTCCCATGACTTATATTACCCACACACATGCGATTTCGGAGCGATTCCGAGCGACCAGTTGCTGAAAATCAAACCGGTTTGATTTCTTGCAACTTGTTGCAAGCGACCAGAATCGCTACGAGTTGCAGTTGCACGTTCCCGCAGACTTGCGACTTTTTCATGCAACTCGGCTGCGATTCTAGAATCGCAGCCAAGTTGCATGAAAAAGTCACAAGTCTGCGCTAGGCTTAATGGTTCATGTCTCCATAAAATACTGAGGCAAATATTTTTAACTCAGATATTAACCTTATAAATTTCACTTCCTCACATATAGGCCATAAATATTGCACAAAAGATACTTATATGAAAATTATAATTTATCTGCCTATACCGGCCTATTTATAAGCAGCACTTCCACGAGCAGTTTAACAATTCGACATTTCTCAGATACAACTATACGTTTCTGTTGCATAACGACGTGTGAGCATCATCTGTTACCAAAATATTGACATACCTGTATGGACAGACGAGACGACAAGATGTAAGAAACTTATTCTCACTGTCGTCACAGACTTAGGCATTATCCTTCACCGACGTGCAATCACATCTAGTGAACCTAAACTACCTTCACCTGCCGACACTGCGGTAAATCGTTCGAAAGCCCACTAATATCTAACGGCTGCTCGCATGCACCCGGTAACCCTGATGACCAAAGTTCACACCTGATGCACCGAATATTAAATGCTATGTCGCGTGCGACTGCGTTGACGGCCGTGGCACGGGCACGTCCACCGATCATAGCGTGGTGCGGCGGTAGCCCTCGTAGGCGGAGCCGGCGGCGTGCGTATCGTCGTATCGCGCCATCTTCATGCTTGGCGGCTCGTAGAGGAACTCATCTTCCCGCTCAGGGCTGTTCTGCGGCGAGATGGCCTGCTTGATCTTACCCTTGCCATCCTGCCACAGCTGATTCTACCAGAAACAAGGATAGCGGTTAGCATTAGGTTCAGAGATAGTGTTAGGGTTAGGGGCTACAGTTATTAGTGTTAGGTTTAGGGTTAGGTGTTACAGTTAGTGTTAGTGTTAGAGTTATGATTGGGGGGTTAAAGTCTGGGTTAGGGGTTAGGATTAGAGTTACGGAAAGGGTAAAGGTCAGAGTCTAAACTTGCACCAAGAGAAAACACTCCTGTTGAAGCAGATTCTTTAGGCAAAGGATACAGCTGGGGTTACGGTTGAGGATAAGGGTCAGGTTCATACTTAAGATTAGGGGTAAAGGTTAGGGTTAAGGTTAGGGGTAAGGGTTAGGGTTAAGGTTAGGGGTAAGGGTTAAGGTTAAGGTTCAGGGTAATTAAGGGTTAGGGTTCAGTTTAGCGGTTAAGATTTGGGCTAGGAGTTAGTGTTGAAGTTTAGGTTTAGGGTCTATAATCTTAAGTCACGTCCAAACACCTCTGTGTGTACTTATATGATGCAAAGGTGGAGTTACAGGATCTGGCCATTTGTAAATTTAGTCGATCAATCCCTGAGGAATAGTTGAAGCTATATGCTAACTTTAGTTTCTAAAAACCATGTTGTAACTTCTAAATATCACACTGTAGCAGCACTTACAATTCTGCCCTCCTTTCCAAAAAGAAGAAGGAAGTTGCTGATAAAATCTCTTGACTTTTCCTCCCATCTCATCATTAGGTCGTTACTTTTCTGCTCTATGTTTTGCACCAGGTTCCTGCCTTTCTCTTGATATGACTTGGCCTTCATTTTCACTGCATCCACCTTGTTTTGCAGGTGGTATGTTTTCTCCTGTGAACATCCCAGATAAGTTACTATACAGACGGATGCAGCAAACCACAAACAAGCTTTCGAGTGATAGTCAATCGTTATTAGTAATGTTATCAAGAGGTAATAATACCTAGGTATATACCGAGATATTATTAGCTCTTTATGATATGCTATAGTTGAGTCATGGCTATTTTCTTGTGAAAGTGTGCACCACTATAGTCTCAATTCTACTTCTACTTCTACTTCTACTCTATATTGGCCACCATCAACATACTGATGATTCTGCCAACGGGAGGCGCTAGTTGAAACTAAAATAAAATTTCCCTTCCCTTTGATTATCTAAAAAAAACAAAAACAAAAAACAAAAAAAGAAACAATTTTTACTTAAAAAACTGCCCTGATGTCGTTTTAGGCAGTAATCAGAGATATAAAGGAACATAGATTCTCGGTTGTCATCACTTCAGTGGGTAAGGCGTTTTACTCTGTAATAGACCTGGGAAAGAAGGAGCCTTTCCTGTAGTCACATCTGCAGGATGGGATTTGAAAAGAGTGCTCTGACATGTTCCTGGTGCTTCGAGTAGGTGGTATCAGACGGTTGTTGGTATCCAAGTTGACCATGCCGTAGACGAGCTTGTACATCATAGCCAAACGGGCAACCCCTTTGTCTTGACTCCAGCGTCGGCCAGTTAAGTGTTTCAAGCATGTCAGTAACACTCGACCTGTTGTGGTGGCGGTTTGAGACGTATCTCGCTGCTCGTATTTGGACCATTTCAAGATGTTGGCAGTCCTGCGCCTGATATGGATCCCATACCGTGCTGGCGTACTCCACCGTGGGCCTAACCAATGAGGTATAGGCAAGTGACTTAACTTCCATTGAGGAAATATTTAGGTTCCTTCTCAGGAATGATAGGGTTCTATTTGCTTTACTACAGATTGAGCTGATGTGGTTGTGCCATCGAAGGTCTGATGTTAGTGTGACACCCAGGGACTTGGCTGATGTGGCCACGTCTAAGGTATGTCCGCGTAGAGCATATGGGTAACAGGTTGGTTGAAGTTTCCTGGTGATGGTCAGGACCAGACATTTGTCTTGGTGGAACTTCATCATCCACTTGTCTTCCCAGACTGCTAGTTGGTCCAAGACATTCTGCAGTATTTGTGAATCTTGTGGTTTAGTCAGAGCTATATGAATCAATGTGTCATCTGCAAAAAGTCGAATGGTTGCTTGTGTATCCTCCGGGATGTCGTTTATGTAGAACAGGAACAGGCAAGGTCCAAGCACTGAACCTTGTGGGACTCCTGATTCTACATTAACAGGGTCGATCAGATCTCTCTCCGTCGACGACGACTGTCTGCATTCGATCTGACAGGAACGAACTAATCCAGGTGTTGGTTTTACCTCGGATGCCATAGTGATTTAACTTGTGAACGAGTAGGCTGTGGTTTACCCTGTCAAAGGCTTTTGAAAAGTCCATTATTACACAGTCGACCTGCTTTCCAACTTCCATGCTTTTGGACACATCGTCCACAAAGTCAAGAAGCTGAGTTTCGCAGGAGACACCCTTCCAGAAACCATGTTGAAGCGGGTTGAGAATGTTGTGTTTATCTGCATGAGACATGATGTGAGATGTCACAATGTGCTCCATGACTTTGCAGCTGATGCACGGCAGTGACACCGGTCGATAATTTTCAGCCAGGTACCTCTAACCTTTTTTAAAAATTAGTGCAACATTTGCATTTCGCCAGTCTTGCGGGACTTCACCCGAGTTGTAGGAGGCTTGGAAAATCATAGTTAGGATTGGCGCAATTTCTTTCGATAACTCCTTCAGTACACGAGGACGCATATTGTCAGGTCCTGGAGCCTTACCATGCTTGAGGCCCTGCAGCAGCTTTTCCACACCTGGTGTTGTAAACTTAATATCATCAGCTGCAGAGTAATAGCCTTTCATAGGGCAGCGGCGTTTAAACTGATCCCTGGTAAACGTTATCTTGGGTGAGAAGACTGACTCAAACTGCGAGTTGAGAATATTTGCCTTATCAGCACTTCCAGTAAACAGATGGCCCTGATCCTTCAGTGGAGATATGTTGTTTCCATCTGACTTCTTGTGTTTTATGTAGGACCAGAATCTTTTCTTGCAGTTGTGGATACCGCCGGAGCCATCGATTGTGGGTTGGACGATATCCTCAATATGTCTCCAGTATGCTCTGCGTAGTCCGCGTTGAACAGCACTTTTCAGTTCTTTGAATATGGCCTTGTGGGAAGCATGAGCAGATTTTTTCATCTTTCGATGGACACGGTCTCGTCTTTTTATTAATTGTTTTGCACTTATTATCCTGTTTTGAATTAAAATAGTCAGCAACCAATTGGCTACTGGGTAGTGGTCTAGAGTTAGCACACCACTGCGTGGGTGTGCATTAGATTTTTTTTTAGAAAAACTGCCACTCCATTTCACTAGGGTTAGTAGTGCCAACATAGTCACCACGTGGACGTCTTTACTGCATTACTCATACCTCGATTACAGCTAACCGTCATACGGCTATTTGTTACGCTTGTCGAGGTGCGCACTAGTTACCTTGAAGAAACCAACATTGAGGTCCTTGGCTGAATACCCTCGCTCAAGATTCCTCCTGACGTAGACGTCGTAATCACGCACGATTCTCGCCACCACGTCCGACGTAGAGATACCTAAAAGCAAGACTTGGTATATCAGACAGCCATAGATACCGAAAGCTACAGATTGGTACCCAGTCGTCTGGTTATCGATGAAGATGACGCTGGATTAAGCAAGGTAAGCGAATACTTCCTTCCAGAAAGTTACTGGGAAATCGATTTTGTAACTACGCAGATCACAAAGGATTCTAATAGATTAATAAAAGCAATTTTGTTCGGATGTATATTATGTAACCACACGTATCCCAAAGTATTCTGATAGGTCAATAATGACAAGTTTGGAAGTAAATTACACAACCACACATGTCTCAAAGTATTCTGATGGATGAGTAACGACTGGTTCAGAAGTATATTATGCAATCACACATATTTCAAAGTGCACTGATAGGTCAGTTGTGCCGAGTTCGGAAACACATTACGCGACCACACGTATCTCAAAGCACTCTGATAAGTCAATAGCAACACGTTCGGAAGTTTATTACATGACCACAGGTGTCACAAAATTAACTGATTGGTCAGTAGTAACAAATTTGGAAAAAAATTACAAAATCATGCATATCTCATAGACTAGTATTCTGATAGGTCAACAGCACCAAGGCCAGAAGTATATTATGTAACCACACGTATTTTAAAGTGCACTGAGTCAGTTGTGCAGAGTTCAGAAATAAATGATACAACCAAGCAAATCTCAATGTATACTGATAGATCAACAGCAACAAGTTCAGGAAATAAAAAAAAACTGGCTACTGCAGTATTGAGATAGAGTTGCCGAACATCGACTAGTTAGCTTCCCCACTACCCCGTGAGAATATCTGACAAAATTCCAAACACACCTTCGGTTCGTTGTGTTGCTATGAACATCCCTTTGTCCTTAAGTGGCTTGTATATGTCTTCACTTTCGGTTCCACCATATGGAAGATCATCGTGAGCAACAAAGTCAATCTTGCATGAAAGAAGAAAACGTTGAAAAAATAATTGTCAAATGATGCACATACGCTGACCCATGCTATGTGTATTTCTAGATGAAACAAGCTGCCTCTTTCCCAAAACCACCCCTGGCATGCCTGTGCGTATCATTCTAACATACTATACTCCATTGACACCACCTGTCTCTACCCATCTAACCGTTCTATCTTCTCTAACGAGACCACCAATGACCCCACCCTTCCAACATGCATCTCCACTGACTGAAACCACTTGTACCTAAATCCCTTCCAATATCACTCTCTACTCGGCGCCTCTCTTGTAACCTCTCATCTATCAACAAAAGACTGGTACAGTCTTCATAACCCCTTTGATTTCAGCGATTAGAAGCATGATACATATTACCAGAAGTAGATAGTACCTATTATCTACTTCTGATATTACTGTGGGCACTCACAGGGGTCTATATTATTAACTATTCGTACTATTAATAATACAGGGGCGACCATGGCACTTGCTGTTTCTGTCATAGCTGAATTCGAGTTGCAATCACCTTGTTCTCTTGCAGAAACTCTGTGGTTATCACCCAGGGGCAGGCTGTGTAGACCTCATCCACATAGCGGCAATGTCTCAGCGCCTCGTATCGCTCGCCTTCTGTACATACAGTCTTGCCCTTCAGAGTGTGTACGTCCTCATCACAGGCAACTACACAGTGAGGGAAGCGAAGAAAAACAACACGCGATAACACGCAGTTCTCTCTAACGCGTGCAATTGTCAGCCTGAAATATCGGCGCTAGAATAATTACGAACACATTGCAAGTATTTACAAATGCAACATAACATGCTCGATCTCAAAACATTAGGGGCATCTGATGCGTGTACTACATGGCTGCTTGTAGGGACCTAATGCCATGGGACTCTCGGTCGAACAAGAGATACTATATGATCTTGACTGTCAGGTACCTGCTGTCTGACCGTCAGCTAAGATCTGAATAAACACCATCGGCCTGACAAGCTGTGACGAGACTACATGATCTTCATACTTTACATGAATGATGCTCTATCCGCTATGTAAACACATTTTTCACACGCACGTGTACTCATGACAAACCCCTATGTCAAACATGAAGAGGTACGCAGTTCGTGCACCAGGCAGGAATTCTCCGTCTGTTAGTTACGTTACCGCATTTTACATTAACATTTGCTCAAACAGGTTTCCACATTAAATACCTAAGTACGAGAACCGTCAGGCTGTCAGGATGGTGTTTGAAATAATGACTTTAAAAATTCCCATGCTATGCATGAAAGGATATGCAAATAATTACATTCATTTTTGTGCGTTCTCGCATTAAATCTCTATGTCAAACATGCACGGATACGCATGTCATTACTTTTGTTCCAGTACGTTCTCACGTTAAATCCATGTGCTGAACACTGAGGGTGGCACAAATCTCTCTGTCAAACAGAGAGAGACTCGCACGGCGCGGAGGGGTGGGAAGCTCACCTCCGACTATCAGGTAGACACGTGGAAAGACATTCTTCGCCTGCATGAGCTGTCTGGCGTGACCTTGGTGGAACATGTCGTAGACTCCGTCTGCGTACACCCGCACCGGCCGGGGAGCTGGTGGATGAAAACAAAGTCATGCAGAAACAGCGACGTTTTCCACGCGAAAACAACAGCATGCGCTGCGGTGCGCCGGCTTATGCCGGATTCATCATGCAACTCTGCAATTCCAGGGAGTGTTGATTAACTATAGAGAGAGGGGAAGTGGGAGAGAGAGAGAGAGAGAGAGAGAGAGACGGGTGAGAGAGCCAGAGACGAGACGAGAGGAGAGAGTGGAAACCAGGGAGGAGCGGAGGGAGGGAGGGAGGGAGGAGGAGGGAGGAGGGAGGGAGGAGAGGGAGGGAGGGGGAGGGAGGGGAGGGAGGGAGGAGGAGGGATGGAGGAGGGAGGGAGGGAGGGAGAGAGAGAGAGATGAGAGAGAGAGAGAGAGAGAGAGAGAGAAGAGAGAGAGAGAGAGAGAGAGAGGGAGAGTGTGTGCATCCGTGTGCAGGCATGTGTGTGGACGTGTGATCGCGTGCGTGTGGAAAGAGCAGGGGGCTAGGTGTTTCAGTGTTCAGAACACTGCTGGCATGCAGAGAAAGTTACATGGGGATTGGAGATTAATTGTGGACAAAGCTGGCCGACTAACCTTGGGTAAACTCGCACCCCCTGCCCTCACTAATGCTGACTGCTGCAAACAACGACCGAGGAACATCAAAGAGCGCCCAACGCAAAAATAAAAGTGCAAAAATAAATGGCTGTCTGCAATTAAGACCGCGGGAACACTCAGTGCGTCGAGGGATCGACCGGTAGAGCCGGCACGTTCTCACGTACCGGTTCCAGACTCTGCCAACTCCATCGATATTCGAATGCTGTAGTCGACTTTTTCGCGTTCTTCTTCCGCCTTCGCCTCATCGCTGTAAGGAGCCATTGAACAGAGCGCCTGTAAAAAAAAACATGCACAAACTGATGCGCACTGACAGCAGGTGGGCTTGGTGGTTCACAGGTTTTTGTTCAGACAGCGCAGTACAGTATTTTAGGAAATTGAGTGAGTCCATGATTTACTAAAATAATGTAACTCCATAAATATGGATGGATAGATGGTTTGTTGCACACTGTGATATTCTACTGCCTTTTGATATATTCTGTTTTTTAAATTATACAAAAACCAGACATGCACACCTCAAATGTTTTACCATGTATGCATATAGACATGCACCCACATATATACTTACCCAACAACTTGTGTTGTGAATATCTACCAATAAACTGATGATAATATATCATATCATCAAAGGTGTATCATTATATTTATACCATTGTGAACTACATCCACTACAGTCCCTATAATGTCTATTCATTAAAAACAGTGAGAATGTTACAAATACAGCTATAGAGTTAGGCAGGGCATTGTACACAATACCTTGATGTTTAGATGTAACATTGCAATGTGCATGATTACTTGGTCCTTAGGGTTCGTAGTGGAATTAATAATAGTGATGTTGTGTAGTAGGGTTATGTTATTAGAGGTAGCAGTAATGTTATGATTAGGGTTAGCAGTAATGTTATGCCTAGAGTAGGCAAAATTAATGTTAGGGTTATGTGCCATTGATCTGTAGCCCATAGCACATTGCCCATGATTACATCAGGAGCATCAGGAGTGAATAATAATAGATTAATCTATTATTATTCACTCCTGATTACATGTATATAATACAGTCGTCCCGGCTTTATCTGGAGAGGTTGGGAACCATGAAAATGTCCGAGACTAAGGACAATACACACGATCTTATGATGTATGACCGTTTCTTGGAGCTAGTCCCGATTAAGCAGTGAAAACATTTCCAATTACACATGCATGCCCTTAATTGCTACTTGTACATTACACACAGTGCACAATACACCTAAAGTTTAGCCCTAAAAACGTTTTGTGGTCGTGTACATTTTACGATAAAAATGATGCGCAAGGACCATTTTTGAAATGATAAATGCACCCGTTTATCCGAGGGCCGATAAAGCCGGCACCACTGTACATAGGGTGTTGGTTGGGTTGGGCGGGGGGCACTGCTGATACTCAGACTCAATAGCTGATAGAAGTATGGTCAACATCTGTACTGTTATGAGGAGAACATGAACAAACAATGAATAGACTTGAATGACTGCTGCTGCTGAAGCACTCCTGCTATTATATTACTACACAAATTTCCAAGCTTAATTGTAATGAACAAATTTCAAGCTTACAGTCTCATTGCTATAACGCCACGCCAACTGAATATATATTATTTAAGCATTGATTCAATCTGCTTGCATGATCAATAGAATCAGAATTCAACTAATATTTCGTGATACATACCTATATATATACCCATGCACCGAGTAAGCAAATACCCGACACCTTCACACATTTATTTGCCTTGTAATCACACATGGAACACTTGGGACTAGCAATCTGAACATACATCAAGCGAGGGGCAGCACATAACGAGCGAAGCAGAGCCACCCAGCAAGGCTACTGTCGCTGCCCCATCCTAGCAAGCGCACGAACGAAACAGTACTGTCGACTACTGGGCGACGACCACCACCACTGTACTACAGTGTACGGCACCTATTGCTGCACAACGTACTGCATTCGTGAGGATGAATACATCGATACAAACGGACGATGCCTCAGAACAATTCCAAGAATCCACTGCAATGCGCATTAGATGAATGCCTGATCGTATGCCATGACACCACGCTATACTACAAAATCAGGAGTGTATGATATCAGGAGTGAATAATAATTGATCCTATCATGATACTATGGGTTTAGCATCGTCGCGCCGCCGCCGCAGAGATTTCCTTGTGAACGCTCTACCGGCTGCAGTTCTTCTCGGATCATCTTAAAATTTTGCATGAAGGTGCGTTATCGTAAAGCGAAGACGCCAATCGTTTTTGGTGTGGGCCGAGTCATCGTTGCCATGGTAACAACATTTTTTGTCGAAATATTCTAGAACTTGTAACTTCTGCACTTTTTACTCGATTGTCATGAAATTTATATTTGTATTAAAATTTATATTTAAATTTATATTAAAATTTAAATTTAATATTTGTATTAAAATTTGTATTAAAATTTGTATTTAAATTTATATTTAAATTTATGATTGTCATCAAATATATATATATATATATATATATATATATATATAGGACATGTTATATCGGCCCTGTGTGCCAAATTCCATGACAATCGGGTAAAAACAGCACAAGTTACAGGTTCTACAATATTTCTACAAAAATGTTGTTACCATGGCAACGATGACTCCGCCTCTTGGGCAGAAGGTCTGTCGCATACCAAAACCACCACTGCCCTTGACCTTAGTTTGACCTTCACCGTCGACTTACATTTCCTCTTCGGCCTCCTAGGGTAACCAGATTCCATATACTTGCACATCTGAGGCACACCAGTTGTCTAACAAACCTTTGTCTTTGTGACATATTTAACTTAACCTGCCTTCTACGTCGATCCTTACAGAGATATTCCATTCATACTAGATCACGGGGGATACATGTAGTTGGCGACAACTGCTCGTTTCTAGTTCAATCTATTATTATTCACTCCTGATAATATGGATATCTATATTACACACTCCTGATGAAATGCTATGGACGTCTACTGCAAGGCCGCGAAACGTTACAGGCGTCTGCCACTGCGCTACGTTGCCAAGTAATGTCACAAAATGTTGCCGGCATTTGTTACGTTGCTACGCAATGTCACAAAACGTTACCGGCGTCTGTTACGTTGCCAAGCAATGTCACAAAACGTTACCGGCGTCTGTTACGTTGCCAAGCAATGTAACGAAACGTTACGGGCGTCTGTTACGTTGACAAGCAATGTAACGAAACGTTACGAGCGTCTGCTACATTACCAATGCAACATCAACAAACAAGGTAACATCTGCCGTGTTGTCTAGCATCATCACTACACGTACAATTGTCGATTTCCTGCGCTAGAAGTTTAAATCATAAAGCGGCATGGAATAAATGGGTTAACAAAATGACAGCTAACCAATCTCCGAAAACATGCTGTGGCTGTGACATCTTCGCAGGCATTCACACAGCCTTGCTGGGCTACCTTGCACATACTTGCATTAGTCTCCTATGCAAACGAAAAAGAGAGAGGAAAATACAAGACATTCATGCATGAGCCAAACCAAGAAACTGATCCCTATTTACACTATCATGTCCACACGTCAAAGTCTGTCTTAACGAGTAGTGATAACTGCCTTTCCAGCTTCACTCCTCTAACAGTTCCCCCCGCTCTATTTCTTTCCTTTTCCCTCTCTATATATAAAATCAAGTTTTGACATTTGATCACACAGCATACATAAATACTCGGTTCCTGGATATAACTGTGATAGTGTAAATGGGGTACATTGACATTAATTAAAGAAAAGTCAGAAGAAAGTGTAGAAAAAATACATCAAGTGGCAAAAAAGTCAGTAAGGTATTAATAGCACACACGTACACTCAGTGGTTTCTGTCCCACTTATGTTTTATTAAAAAAAGCCCAATACTGTTAAAATGTGGTTAAAATTAGTACCACAGCATTAGACGTCAGCTTGAGAGATGGAGTCCAGCAAACCTAAGACACACGGATAGTAACAATTACCTGTTTTGAATTGAAACTGTTTAAAATTAGAAACCGAATAAAAATAACTAAAGATTAACGCTGATGCAAGTGTAAGTTTCACACATGATGATGCCGAATGTGTAAAATTCATACACATCCTCAACATTACAATATCTAATACGTGAACATGTTAAGCAGAGACACGAATTCGTTCTTGGAACAAACAGAGCACAATCTTGACTTACTTGCACACATCCCCTTTCTTCCTGTATGCAAGTCTGCACATCACAGTTTTCAGTATAAACGGAGGTCATTTCCAGAAATCATGGCATGCCAATTAAATCCCATAACGAGCTGCCACTATTTAACCACGTTTATTCACACAAATTGTACATGTATCACAATCTCACAAGAGGCATAAACTGGAAAAGGGTCACTGACCACTTGTCAAAGAAAAAGATTATCACTTGTCTAAACCTGGTGTCTCACAGACACAACGCATGCTAATTTAATATAGCATTGTGTTAAAAGGAAAACACAGAATTCAGAAATCTTCTAAATACTGTGGCACACAACAAGACGGAAAACAAATGCAAAAACATGAATAGTTGTGAAAATCCTGTCAGTGCTTACCGGCTTAAAGTTGATTGGACTCAGCGACAGGATTTCGTTTTCATTGTCTAGCCCAGCTTGAGCCCTCGTTCGCTTCCTTGAGTCACACTCCGTATCGCTCATTACGAAACTGTGACAGTTTACCAAAATTAATTTTGAGCACGTTACACATTAAATTGAACAGTTTCATAGCGAGCCAAACTAGCTAGGTTTTATCAAAAGTAGATAATAGGGAAGGAGTGTGACTTCAATAAACAAGGGAAATTCGTCATTTACTAGCCTTAGAATACCTACGATTTACTACGCGTAACTCAACCAACTTGAGCTCAAATCGTACACAGTACATTCGCCTAGCATCGTGCGAAATCGTTTCCTCGTATACACCAGCAATCCGGAGATACAGACTAAAACGTACGACACAATTATCCATTCTTTGGCCATCAATCCGAACGTATTCCTCGCCGAACTTAAAACAAAATACAGCTACTAATGCATTCTTGCTCACTCGGCGAGGCGGTGTGGCTCGCTGGAAGATTGAAGCTGGAGCTGCTGCTGATTGCAGTAGGCGTGCGTGCGTGGGAGGCATACCAGCTGTATGCCGGTATGCCGGTATGCCGGTATGTAGCTGTGTGCCAGGTCAAAGGTTATCTCGCCGAGTGTTGCGTCGATGTCCAATCTCCTAGCGAGCCACACCGCCTCGCCGAGTGACCAAGAGTGCGTTAGTAGCTGCCTTTTGTTTCGAGTTCGGCGGAGAATACGTTCGGATTGATTGCCAAAGAATGGATAATCGTGTCGTACGTTTTAGTCTGTATCTCTGGAGTCTGGATTGCTGGTGTATACGAGGAAATGATTTCGCACGATGCTAGGCGAATGTACTGTGTACGATTTGAGCTCTTGAAAGTTGGTTGAGTTACGCGTAGTAAATCGTAGGTATTCTAAGGCTAGTAAATGATGAATTTTCCTTGTTTATTGAAGTCACACTCTTTCCCTATTATCTACTCCTGGTTTTATCCATCACATGCAATTGCACCTTTTAATATTCAGAGAATGCATCAAGGTATCAGGCAATTAAAGACATTCGCTTATTAACTGAACATGTAATATTGTGTCATGTTATAAATATTACAGGGAGAATTACTTACTGTGTTGTACTTGCCAGCTGGTATCGCTATGTATTTGTCTTCCTGTGAAATAAACTAGCTTTTCAAAGTCGAAACCTGCTTCCGATTCTTGTGCCTGAATGACAGATACATCAATAAGTAATTATTACTGTTTAAAACATTATACACATAACCAGTCTTAAAACATGTAATTGTAAAAGCCAATACCTTGCAACCATAATACTAAACTTTGAACATTTTAGCCTTGAAGGAAATACAACAGCTTGATTAACAAAATTGCTGTCTCATTAGTTAAATATAAATATTGGCACAAATATAAGGCAGTCTACAGTACAAGGCATCACGTTCTTCATAATCACCATTCACCTATTGCACGTTTTTTCAAAACACATATATTAATGTCTGTATACATACAAAGAGTCCACTTTCCTGACATGTTTACCTGTCATGTCGCAAGTGATTCTTAGTACACATTGTATCTCCATACACAGAGATTGTGGTTGAACCTATGCCACGAGATCTATATTTGGATTTGGTATGTACATGTGTATTTTACAGTATCAGAATCCATCTCGAAATCGATTACCATACTGATTATAAAGATATGCTATGGCAACGCTGCACAACTAAAAATCTATATTTATTATATTAAGAGACTAGACATAATAAACTATCAGAGTTTATTATCCTGATGTGAAAAAATTGCTAAATTAAGTAAATGAACTACTGACATGTACCAGATCAGGGGCGGATGCAGGATTTTGTCTAGGGGGGGGGGGTGCAGGTGGGAAAGGGCACTTTGAGATTTTGTTAGGGGCAACTGAAGGGGCGGCGCAGCTGCCGCGCTACTAATAGTAATAGTAGCCAACTACTAATAGTAATAGTAGTAACTGAAGCGGTTCGTGCGCGAGGACCGCAGGTGCGAAGAATCGGTGGGGGTCGGGGAGACCTCCCGCAGAACATTTTAAAAATCAGACTCTTTCTATGCATTTTTCAGAGCAATATGAGGCGAAATTTTGTACTTCAAGTCTTGTCATAGCAATGAAACCAGACAATTCCAGTACAAGGCCAAAATCCACAAAGCCACAAAAACCATCAACTTGCTTGAAATTAACTGCATCAGAGCGACAAAATACTAGTACCCGGTGAAATCAAACTGCGATATTGGATTGAACACACTTTTATTACAAAAGAAATTGAAATCAATTACATGTACTAATTAATGCTTTCCGTTTCATACATTTACTATAAAACTTGAATTTCAACGACTGATATATTATCAAGACGCTAATGTGTAGACGCGTGTGAGGTGCTGAATAAAGTGGATGCGAAGCGGCGTAAGGCATGTGGGAGGAGAGGTTTAGGAGCCGATATCTCCGGCTAGGAGTATCGTATTGACAAGCGGTTGGTCTTGTTGTAGAGAGCAATGGAATTCTGCTTAATGCAATACCATGAAATTATTCTAGACTCGCAGGCCCAAGTAGATAACGGTAGTGCGTGAAATAGCACTATGTTTCCCGTTTTCCGTTGCTAACATCTCTGTATTGATTAGCTCTTGATATTATTGCTGTACGTGTAGAACACATACTCAGTATTCACTCATTGGCACAGGGGCGGTGTACAGGATTGCTAGGGGAGCGAGGACGAGTGGGCGGGGTGTACAACCTGTAACCCAAATTGGCAGCAACGGGACAGGGTAGATCGCCCCGGTTCTGTTTGCTGGCAGAAACCTGCGGGAGCCAACTTCAAATTCTTGAAATTAGCACTCCCTCATGAATCAGGATGCGTATATTTCATACGCGGCAGAACCCCCCCCCCCTGACACGCCCTGTGCCAGTACTACTGCTTACCAAATTTAGACCAAATGTAGTGGCTCTGTGCCAGAGAGAATATAGGTAATAGTCACTACTATAGTAAGTTTGTAAAGTTAAGAAAAATGACAAAGATAGACATCGAAAAACCTATTCAGAATGAAATTATTGTAAGCAAAATATAGAGGGGGTTATTACCAGGAGGCGTACCACGTCTATAACAAAGTTATCAACGATGTTCGCAGCCTGGCGGCGATCTGTCGCAGCTCGAAAACAAGTCGCGAGTCGCCCCCCGTCCCCCTAAAAAATCACTCGGAAAACAATCAACTTAATTTTTCAGTATTTTTTCTGACCTTAAAACAATATATACTTTTTTTAAATTGAAGCAAAAAATTCCGTGGGCCAGAAAAAACAGCGGCAACTCAAATTTTAGCGGCGGGTGGCACCCCCTCACTCCCCCCCGCTGATCCGCCCCTGCCCAGATATTCAATCGCTGTTTTCAGCCAGCTTTAAATGCCAGCTAGTGTGGTAAACACAGATATGGAAATGATCCTAATATACCTCAATACACAAGACTCATTAATAAACTAGTCTGCTACCACTCAATATCATATTAATGATCAATGCTTCATTCAGTCATACCCGAGTTCTACAAGGAAACTTTTATGCCTGGCAACCCGCCAGGCTATCAGTCAGAGCCACCGCCATACCTAAGAGCCATCTAGACCAATCTATTCATAGCCCCATGCTCACATATCATAGCCCCGGCGCCCCCCTAGCACGCAAAGCGCCTTCGGCGATTTGCCAAACTAGGACCGTCAAGGCAGCACCCGCCATGCTATAATGAATGAAGCCATCTCAATCCATCAATGACACGGTAGCTCACCACAAAAAAAGACACAAATGAGTGAGTGAGAAGAAGTCAGTTTAACTGAGGCACCCATCGACGTACATTATACTTAGTAAAACAAAGAGTAGATATGGGAGAACTCCCTTGATATTTTTTTTTTTTTTTTTTTTTTTTTTTTTTTTTTTTTTTTTTTTTTACATTTTTTTTTTTTTTTTGTTTTTTTTTTTTTTTTTGTTTCTTTTTTTTTTTTTTTTTTTTTGTGGAGTTTTTTTTTTTTCTTTTTTTTTTACTCTGATAATTATATGTGTAATGATTTCATGTGAAAATAATAATAATATTATATATATAAATTATAAATAATTTATAAAACAAATGAATCCACAAATTTTGACGTAGATGGCGCTATATCGCTTGAGTTTCTTCAGCATAAATCATAATATTATATCATAATAATAATAATATAATAATAATAGTATAAATCATAATATGTTCATAGCAGGAATTTTGCATTAAAGATATTGTCAATGAAATCTTGTAAAACGAACCAGACGAGTGTGACACCACAGACTGTTTGTTATCAGCGTGTCTATATAATATGCTATATAATTGCCAAACCCTACCTAATTTGCAAATAATTTTTTTTTAAATATCAAAACCCCTATCCCTTATTCATTCACATACCAAAAATGAGCAAAATCCTTTGAACCTGAACTGACTAATGGCAATTCCCATTTTTGGCAAAAAATTGCCGTGGCTCGAAAGTACGTCGACTGGCGTGCTCCAAAATAGGACGTTTAATATGGGAGCATAGCAGCAACAACTATACCCAATTTCAAACATGTGGGTCAAACGGTTCCTGGGTTATCGTTGACTGTAGCCAAATGTTGACGGACAGACGGACGGACGGACGTACGACAGACGACGACCCATGGCAATAGCTCAGCTTGACGATGTTAAGGTGAGCTAAAAAGCTTGGAGAACCCTGTCACATAGTCAACATACCATAACAGATATTCACTAGGTGACTGGAATTCTATTTGAACGCATTTTCGGTATCCTTTATTTACTGTAGAAAAAATAATCATAGATAGTCGTAACCAAAAATATCATATCTACCATTTTATCAAGAGCTCATAATAGAGAAATAATCTCTATTATGAGCTCTTGATTTTATGTAACCCTGACTGTTACTCTAGGGGGCAATGTATAAGATGCCCATAAGAAACGCCCATAACATGTAGCACATGTATATGTACAAAAGAATTTCTTGCAATTCTGCCTCTCGGCTAGACTTCAATGTACATACGAGCTTGTTTATAAACCAGACTTTATTGTACAAATTAATATAATGTAAAACAACTTCTTGGTTCTGTGATTACCGTGTTCAAGGTGTCTGTGCCCTCAGTTTGGCATGATTACTAATTTAGGTTAAGCCCTGCCCCATCTACAGTCAGTATAAGGAGTGTACTGCCATGAGCTCGTTTAGGTAGCTACGATTCTGTGTATGAGGTTGCTTAAATCGTTAAAATATATATATATACAGGGTTCAACATTAACTTTTTATTTCACTAGACCATCGGGCTAGTAACGGAGGAAAACCACTAGCCCTGACTAACTTACACTAGCCCAGACCCAGACCATTGTTATGGAAAACTTTAATTAGATAAGAGTGTGTCATCGTATGAATTCATAGATGCTGTTTCCCGCGCTTTAAATCGCGCGTGGGCCGAGTTCACGTGCAGCATTCGTATTCTACCACGGGCATACACGAGCGCACGGTTTATCGATCGTCTACTGCGGCTGGCAGCAAGCCACGTTATTGTTTTTGCCGAAGGGTAGACTGGTATCCGGCCTCACGCTCTGCTAGACAATGCACACGCTCTGCGACAAAGTGCGGCCGCGAGCCAGAGGTGACCTTTCAGTGCAATATATATGACCAATTCTAACACGACCAGTCGGGCTACTAGCGGTTCCAGTTAGGACCACCACCCCACCCCCTCACTCTCTCTCTCCCCTGCATCCGCCTGCAGCATCCGAATACGTGCCTATCTACGGCACGCCTTTCAATCCATCATGAGCGTTTTTCTCCCAAACTGGCCATTACCTCCTTTGTCTAATTTTCCCTTAGAAGAAACCCTGGACTAGACATATGGCTTTACATTATATCAGAAGTAGATAATACTAATAGGGAAGGAGTGTGACTTCAATAAACAAAGGAAATTCGTTATTTACTAGCTTTAGAATACCTACGATTTACTACGCGTAACTCAACCAACTTGAGTTCAAATCGTACACAGTACATTCGCCTAGCATCGTGCGAAAACGTTTCCTCGCAGATACAGACTAAAACGCACGACACGATTTTCCATTCTGTTGCCAGCAAACTCGATGTGTTAACCGCCTAACTCGAAACAAAAGGCAGCTACTAACGACTCTTGCGCCCTCGGCAATGCG